TCTTCATTACTACCTTTTCCCCACTTCCACTCACAAGTAGACCAACATGGTCACCAGCAAGCTTACAAGCCTGCTTGTGTTCCCTTTGAGTTTTAGTCTTTGAAGGAAGTTTGTCCTGAGGGGACTTGATAGCTTGCCTTGATGATGTCCAGGCGAACAGCTTGTTTGTTCTTGTACTAGCCAAACAGTCTGCTGTGTTTTTTATAACTGACAGTCTTTCTTTCAAGAAATATCTTCTGTTCCTCTAGCTGTTCTGGGTTGGTCTGCTTGTCCTTTCAAGTGGGAATGTCCCACTTCAGAAGGTTCTAAATGGGGCTCAGGATTCCACCTAAGGTCCTATATTTTACAAAGGCTCTACAAGAAACCTATTTCACTGGGCAAGTTCTAGAACCTCTTTAAAGTATTCCAATCAGTTATGGGCTGAAGATAAGCTTGCAGGCTTTTTGTAATCATGTTTCCTGACATTCCTTTCTATCCCACTTAAGTTTGTTTTCCAATATTAGGCAAGGGAAACCAATATCCATAAGACAGTTAAGTATCTTAACAATATTTCCCCCCTTTTAGCCACTCAGACTATTCCTCGATCCCTCAATCACAGAGCCCTGTTGTTCCAAGTTTGAGTATACATCACTATTTACCTTTGTTACATTTAGCCCATGCAAACCTACCTAAATATTCCCCTATCTTCCTTGTTCTTCCACCCCCTTTTCTTTCTTGTGCCTTGCTCTCCTTTTCCTTGTATATTGCCCTTCCCAACACCTGAGTATTGGAGAAAAAATCATTAACAATCTGAGATATGCAGATGATACAATTTTGCATGCTGAAAGTGAAAAGGACTGAAAATATATACTGATGAAGATCAAAGAGCACAGCCTTTGGTACAGATTATATCTCAATGTAAAGAAAACAAAAATCCTCACCAATGGACCAATAAACAACATTCTTATTAATGGAGAAAAGATTAAAGTTGTCAAGGACTTCATTCTTCTTGGATCAAATATCAACACTCTTGGAAGCAGTGGTCAATAAATTAAAATGACGTATTGTGTTAGGCAAATCTGCTGCACAAGACCTTTTTAAAAAGTTGAAGAGCAAATATGTCAGCTTAAGGACTAAGGTGTGCCTGACCCAAGCCATGATATTTTCAATAACCTCGTATGAAAGCGAAAGTTAGATAGTAAATAAGGAAGAATGTAGAGGTATTGATGCTTTTGAGTTATGGTGTTGGAGTAGAATATTGAAAGTGCCTTGGGCTGCCAAAAGAACCAACAGATCTGTGTTGGAAGAAGTGCAGCCAAAGTGCTCCTTGGAGGCCAGGATGGCCAAACTTCGTCTCTTGTACTTTGGACATGTTGTCAGGAGGGACCAGTCCCTGGAGAAGGATATCATGTTTGGTAAGATGGAGGGTCAGAGAAACAGAGGAAGACCCCCAGTGAAATGGATTGGCAGAGTGGCAGCATCAATGGGCTCAAGCATGACAAGAATTGTGAGGTTGGCCCAGGATTGTGCAGCGTTTCGTTCTTTTGTGCATAGGGTCTCTATGAGTCGGTACCCACTCAATGGCGCTTAACAATAACACCCACTCAATGGTGCTTAACAATAACCCACTCAATGGCGCTTAACAATAACACAATAACAATAGCGATGATGTAACCATCCCCTAACTTGTGCCCTACTGTCCCCTCCCTCCCAAACCTGGTTACCAACAAATAATTTTTATTTCTTTTAGTATGGCTATCTTTTCTTAAGCTTTTATAATAATGATCTTATGCAATATTGTTCCTTTTGTGGCTGACTAATTTCACTCAGCTTAATGTCCTCAAGGTTCATTGATGTTATGAGGTGTTTTACAGATTCATTGTTATTCTTCAGAGTAGCATAGTATTCCATTGTATGTATGTATCAAAGTTTGTTTATCCATTATTCTGTTGATGGCCATTTAGACTGTCTCCATCTTTTTGCTATTGTGATTGTTGTTGTTACTAAGTGCCGTTGA